TGTTCATAGCATCAGTTTCCTAGAAACTAGAACGTATCTAGTTTTCGTGATCCCTTTGCTAAGTTTGGTACCTTGAAGTAAGCACATCCCCAGTTTTCCCAGTGAAAAACAGACTGGGATTATTATTCACCACACATTCTTGTCACTATGTTTCTATTACTTTCACCCCCAAATTCATTATTATGTTTTTTTTTTTTAATGAATGGACTTTCTTTTTTTTTTGAGACAGAGCCTTAATATGTCACCCTCAATAGAGTGCTATGGCATAATAGCTCACAGCAACTTCAAATTCTTGGGCTTAAGTGATTCTCTTGCCTTAGCTTCCCAAGTAGTTGGGAATACAGGTGCCTGCCACAACACCTGGCTATTTTTTTGTCGTAGTTGTTATTGTTGTTTTGGCAGGCCTGGGCCGGGATCAAACCCACCAGCCCCGATATATATGGTCGGTGCCCTAGCTGCTGAGCTACAGGCACGGAGCCATGAGTGGACTTTGTTTTTAGAGAAGTTTTAGGTTTAGTAAAAAATAAAGTAGGAAGTAGAAAATTGGCAAATACCTCTGACCCTCAACTTCCCCTTTTATAATATTAACATCTTGCATTAGTGCAGTATGTTTGTTACAACCAATGAACCAATACTGATACTTTGTTATTAATTAAAGACCATCACTGACATTAGAGTTCACCTTTTGTGCTGTACAGTTCTGTTGGTATTGACAAATGCATAACGTCATGTGTCCACCGTTGTAATATACAGAATAGTTCCACTGCCCTAAAAAAATCCCCTGTGCTCTGCCTCTTCATCCCTCCCTTCTTTCCGCCAGTCTCTGGCAACCACTGATCTTTTTACTGTCTTTATGGTTTTGCCTTTTCCAGAATGTCATGTAGTTGAAATCAGACAGTATGTAGTCTTTCCAGACTGCTTTCACTTAGTGATATGTGTTTATGTTTCCTCCATGTCTTTCTGTGATGTCATGGCTCATTTCTTTTTAGCTGAAGGACGTTTTGGTTGCTTCCAAGTTTTGCAATTATCAATAAAGCTATGTGGCTGCCATAAACACGTAGGTGCAGGTTTTGTGCCAACAAGTTTTCAACACATTTGAAATAACAAGGGTAAATAACAAGGAATAATATTGCTGGAAGACTATATTATGTTGGAAGAGTATGTTTAATTTTGTAAGAAACTATAACACTGTTTTCCAAAGTGGCTGTCAGCAAAAAAAAAAAAAAAAAAAAGAACAATATGAAAACATTAACTCTTACAAAGTGGGCTGTCAGCAATAAATGAGAGTTTCTGTTGCTGCACAGTCTTGTCAGCATTTGGTGAGCTTTTAATTTATTTTTAATTTTTTTAGAGACAGAGTCTCACTTTGTCACCCTTGGTAGAGTGCCATGGTGCCTCAGCTCACAGCAACCTCCAGCTCTTGGGCTTAGGTGATTCCCTTGCCTCGGCCTCCCTAGTAGCTGGGACCACAGGCGGCCACCACAACGCATGGCTATTTTTTTGTTGTAGTTTGGCTTGAGCCAAGTTTGAACCCCCTACCCTCAGTATATGGGGCCAGCGCCCCACTCACTGAGCCCCAGGCACTGCGCTATCCCTCAGATTTATTTGCGTGATTTAGTGCTGGGCCACATTCTCTTTGTCCCACATTTGTTCATTTGTTTAGTTACTCTTTGTACATCTCTTAGCACTCTTTTTTTTTTTTTTTTGGTGCCTCTCTCAGATATCCCAGGGTGGGAGTCTCTTTTATTTATTAAGTCTTCTCATAATCCAACTGGTGTATGCCCTGCTGTTAAGGACTCACACTTGCAATCTTCTCCAGAGGATGTCTTTTGGGATAATGAAGGTGCCTTTCCTGGGAGTTTACATTCATCTCCCAATCGGATGGCACATAGACAGTAACTGTCTGGTATGAAGGTGCAATAACTCAGCTCCCTTTCCCAGGTGAGACAAACACTGTGATGCAGTTTATATGAATGTGGATCCCTGGGGGATCAGCCTAAACATGATTAACCTAAAACCACATTCTAGTTTCACTTCTTCTCCTCTGCCTTCAACGTTTACTTCCTACAGGTTTCTCTTGCTGGTACAACCTTAATAAATCACATACACATCCCGATCTCAGGCTCTGATACTAGGCAATCTGACCTAATTTTATGACTTCTTTGTGTTACAGAACACAATCATTTTTAATATTTTTAACTATTGTAACTGTTTTTTCTTTTATGGCAATAAAGTCTTATTCTGTTGCCCTGGCTAGAGTGCAGTGGTGTCATCACAACTTAGTGCAACCTCAAACTCCTGGGCTCAAGCAATCATCTCACCTCCACCGGTCAGAGTGCTAGGATTACAGGCATGAGCCACTGCTTTTTAAAATAGTAGTGTTGCCAGGTGCAGTAGCTCATACCTGTAATCCTAGCACTCTGGAAGACCAAGGTGGGTGGATTGCCTGAGCTCAGGAGTTTGAGACCAGCCTCAGCAGGAGTGAGACCCTGTCTCTAAAATTAGCTGGTCACTGTAGCCCGCACCTGTAGTCCCAGCTACTTGGCAGGATAAGGCAAGAGAACCACTTGCCCTAGAGTCTGAGGTTGCTGTGAGCTATGAGGGCCATGGCACTCTACCAAGGGTGGCAAAGTGAGACTCTGAATCAAAATAACTAACTTACTAAATAAATAGTGTCTTTATTTCTAATAGGTTGTTTTAAATTGCTTGTGTTTTATTGTTTGTATTTATTGAATCATGAAGGGTAAGGCATTTTCAGGAAAAAAAACTACCTTTCCAATTTTCCAATGAATGTCAATGGAAAAATTAGATTAATATGATAAAACTTTACTGCAAAGTGAACGCAAATGGAAGAGATATTCTGTTAGGTTAGGATTACCTCTATTGCAGTTTTGAATGTCTCATCTTTCATTGAACTGTTGACAGCAGCACCATTTTAGAAAGACACACTGTATTTCAGAGTCTCATTAGAATCGGGATTTCTTTATGTGTCAAAGGTATCTTTTACTCTTTGAAATATCACCATTTGATTCTGCCTGAATGATGTCAGTCCTGTGTTTTTATTTTTTTAGTGGTGGATACCTACTTGTCTTTGGTGAAAGCTATTTCTGCTGCCATGTTGTGAGTCTTTGGGCATAGCCTCGTGTGGAAGGGAGAAGCCCCTGAGAAAGTTGCCGGCGCCATTCCTTGTGTCTCTGGATCCACACATGTGGATGTTCATGCTGAAGAAACATCACCTGATTGGAACAATAAATTATAAAGTGGGAAGTTGTCACTGTGAGGTAACATGACCACAAGTCAGCTGTAAGGGACGGAGGTAACACTCAGGTCTGCAGCAACCAAATTCACTCAAAGAAGACTGAAAAATCAGTGTCATCAAGACCTGGAAGAAGATGTTCCTAAAAAATTCTCCTTCATCGTGTCTAAATATCAAGTTACTAAATTGAATGTATGGGAAGACATAAAAAATAGCACAGGGGATGACAGGATTTTGATTGAATTTGATATATGTAAGGAGATGGTCTTAATATTGATGGTTTGGAAGATGTGAAAAGAATTGTAACACAAAGACATTAATAGGGCAGCGCCTGTGGGTTGGTGGGTAAGGCACCGGCCCCATATACCGAAGGTGGCGGGTTCAAACCCAGTCCCGGCTGAACTGCAACAACAACAACAACAAAAGACATTGATAGAAAGTACCAACCAAAACATTGAAAAAATAATCAAATTTGACAGAGAAAGTGGCTGATTCATTTGAAAGGTTTTCTGGTCTTCACAAAATGGGACGTCATTGATACTGCTTTCACCCAACATACCAAACTGCATGCAGGAGAGTAGGAAGTGAAGAATGAAATTCCTGAGCAAAGGAAAAGGATTGCCCAGAAGTCTGTCCCCAAAGGCAGTGAAAAATTCTCTGAGACAATTTTAAGCAAAGAAAATTTATATCCTTTGTCATCAGATCACATATAGAAAATAGGTTTTATTTCATGCATTATCTCTGACCAAATGATAGTCTGGAGCTCTGCCTGGAGCTCTGTGTTGAGGAAGATTCTGAGACTGTATTTGGATTGATTGGGAAAAAAGTTCATTACCAATTAGTAATGTCTGTCTCTGAAATAAAAAATATGTGTCATGTTTTTACCATTCATAAGCATGGGAAATCCCATGAGGTAGATCAGCTCATGTTCTGTGAAAAGCAGTGCTGAATTGGGTGTGAAGAGACCAGAGTCAAGTATTGTGTCTTCCATTCGTTAGTAGTTTGACTTTGTGACTTCATCACACTGGTTTCATTTTCAGGACAATGAAGTTTCTAAACTGGATGATCTGTGATGACCCTTTAAATTCTAAAATTCTGTGACTGATTAATAGTCAAGCTTCAAATTTGTTATTGTGGAGAGGGTGCAGGGCTTGTGTCTTAGTTTGTGTTTCCCCAGAAGGGGACCTAGAGACAGGATTCAAGTGTGAGGGATTGAAATGGAAAAGTAAAGGAAACTTTTGGGTACATTATCAAATTAGCTCCCTCTTAATCCCACTGAAGAAACTCCAAGTCAATCTATTTGGGAGGCAAGGTTGCTGGGTGTTTTTACACCAGCTCTTGCCAATCATTGAATGAGGGCTGGTGGTGGGGCAGGTGGTGGGGCAGGTGCCTGCATTTCCTCTCTACTGTGCCAGTGATCGCTAAAGAAAGTCCCCAGGCAAGAAGTACAGATGGAAATGTGTACAGGGTGTGCTTAACTAGTAAGGGCTGGGGGATATGGACAGGGTCTGCTATGCCAGGATTCTTGGAGAAATAAAGTAAAAGAGCTCATTGGCATTTGGTATTAAATACAATTGATACTCAAACATTATTATAAGAAATTATCTCCTTTTGGATCTCAGAGCTGAGGTATGAATTGAGTAGAGGAAATTCGTGAAATCTACAGTTATTTTCAGTTTAGACCCCTACAAGGAGAGTCTTCAGATAGACACTGCCTAGTAATGCTTTTCTGTTTTCTCCACAGTCAAAAGACCATTTCAGCAAGAACGAGTATCTTTCAAACAGAAATGTTCTAGCTTCCATCCAAACCTGTGAAGGTCTGACCCTCAAATTGATAAGTGGAGATGTTCAGTTTCTCAGGGTAAGTGGTACTATTTAGTAAATCCACCAAGGAATGATGGTTCTAATTAGGTTTAGGGTCAAAGATTTAGGTCATGTATATTTGAGAAGTTGAACCCACCTAAAGTTCATGCAGGGATATATTTAACATCCTCTATGTATTCTTCCACGTGTACTCATGTGGAGGGGTCTGAGTTTCATCACAAACCAGTGTGTGCAAATACACTTCTTTTGTTTCTCTATAACTGTTCTTGACCTACTTTCAAGCCAGGTTTGTTTTTCTCTCGGCCTCCCATCAACATTAATGAGGAAGACATGTAAACGCCACACTATAAGGTCACCCTTCACAAACACATCCTATTGCTCCTGCCTGAGCATTTTCCAGAGACACAGGGAGAATAAGGAAGGATAAAGATTATTGTTTGGGTGCTAAATCCTCAGCTTGGTTCCTGCCTATGGTTTCTTTCCTATCACTTCCTTTTACTTGGAATTACCAATTAGGAAGGACAGGTCCTAAAGTCCATCTATAGTTGATATCCGTAATACTTCACCCTGGCTGCAGATCAGAATCATCTGGGTAGCTTTTTAAAAATATAGATGCCGGCTCAGCACCTGTGGCTCAAGTGGCTAAGGTGCCAGCCACATATACCTAAGGTGGTGGGTTTGAATCCAGCCCGGGCCTGCCAAACAACACTGACGGCTGCAACCAAAAAATAGCCAGGCATTGTGGCAGGCGCCTGTGGTCCCAGCTACTTGGGAGGCTGAGGCAGGAGACT